ATGGATGCGGAGGTTTTTCTATTAGTCAGACAAATCAATTTTTTATATTTATTAAAAAAGAAAAAATCAAAACTAGTTGCTATCGTTAGAATAATAACGAATGGAAATACCATAAGGTTCATGCTTATATTCAGGAAACAGATTCAATAGTAACCCGAAAATTGCAGAATAAAAATTGTCATCGTGATTATAATAACAAAAATTTTCTCCAATAAAATTTTCAACTTTTTCAACTATCTCACTTGATGAAATTTGATCTCCGTCTCCACCAATGATTTCATTAACATCCTTATTGATTATTGACATAAATATAGCCTTGGAAATTCCATTATCAAAAATTTTTTTCATTATTTCAGGTAATTTAGTAGCTATCTTTCTTAATAAGTCAAAACTTATGATTTGATCTTCTTTACTGCAAATATATGAGGTATATATGAAAAATTAAGATTGTGAATTAATTAATTATAATAATTTCTAATTTAATAAATATTTGCATACCTCATGATTTTAAAGCTACTTATATATGGCCTAATTATTTCATCTTGTGTGAAAAGCTATAAATATATAATATATATATATATATATTTAGTATAAATCTATACTAGAAATTAATATTTTCATCTAGCATTTGTTAAGTCTTACCACAGTAATTTTAGGCATATTTTCCTCAAAATCATGATTAATCATATAAGTTATACAAATACTAGCTTGATGTAAAACGACGTCTTTTTCATTATTTAAAAATATTGCCATGAGCTCTTGATTATTTATAGTTAAATCTTTTAACACATCAACACTATTCTTGGGAAGATTTCTAGAGTTTCTGCAACAATTTGCCATCAACCAAATTGGTAATGCTCGGTCACTGTCAGACATGAATGGAAATATATTTTGCATTATATGTTGAATGATATCTGATTTTAAAATCAACTCGACACAATTAACTCTATTTGGTATAGAAAATTGCACTAAAGCCTACAAACAAAAAAAAAAGGCAAGAAAACCATTTTTAAAAACTTATATACGTATATATATATATATTTAATTAGACTTGAAATTACCGCTATGATATCATTTAAATAATCCAAATCATTTGATAAGGGTGTCTCTTTAATTAATTGACATAAATTTGGAATGGCAACTTCTCTCACCGCATTACCAATATGTTTTTCAGCATTATTATCCAACAGAGTTGTTAAATTACACATACATCTACAAGCCATTGTTATCCGTTTTATGTTAGAATTGTCAGAATCTGCTATTTCAAATATTGCTTGTAGGGTCACAATGTCGATTTCTGCACTATAAGCTGATAAATCTGATAATTGAGGAGGTGGTGTCCTTCTTGTCATTAAGGTTGCAAGTTTACGAATAATTAAATTGTAATTCCACCCTTCAGTTAAAGACATGTCAGGGTTTGTCAAAAAGTTTGAAAATCTTGTTAAGGTATCTGTGTGTACATCTGCGTAGTTTGTGATTTTTGAAACAATTGATCTAATTTCTCTAAGTGTGGGGGTACTTCTTGGCGAATCGCCGGTGTTATCTGGGTTAAACCGCATGTTTAATAATGGCAATGGTCGACGTATAAGTGGTGCTGGAATTCTATGATTTGACATTTTTGTTTGTAAAATGAACCAGATACTCAATTCACTTTGTTTATTTAAAAATGGGCATACTGCGATAAATTTTTCTGGGGTCAAATTCTATTTTTAGTAAATCCGGGTTCGTCATACCTTACGGTCGAAAATAGCTGCGTCTGCGAGTCAGTTTTTTAAATTATTTCAATGCTAGCTTCTTACCTAAAAACAACAAAAGATTGTTTGTGTTGTGAATTCAACATGACATAAATTTTCAATTACGAAGGAAAAGATGGTGGTGTTTTTGTTTTTATTTTTCTGAAATTTCTATTTAGCTGAAGAGCACTTCTGATCAAGTCCTGTACCATTCGAAGAAGCTTTAGCTTAATAATTAAAATCTGAACTTCTTTTCTTGGAAAACGATGATGAATGCAAAGGGATTGGTTTTCAAATCTTGTTATAAAGAAAAAAAAGTAAAATTCCCACTTGCATATAATGTAAAACTATTACGTCAAATTCGCTGCCATTAAGTCAAAAATGACGCAAGTAAAATTGCTTTAAAGACTAATAAAAGATAAAAGCTCACAAAAAAACTTATAAATATATTAATATATTCCAAGGCCTTTTTTTTAATATTTTCTTGTGTATCCCAATTTCTCCTTTTTTTCATCAGTTGTTCCAAGGAGCCAAGCTTTTCTTTTGCCGAATATAATTCAGTTCCCACACATTCATTTACTGCTAAACTCGAGTATTTCTTTATATTAATATTAATAACGTAATACATGATCAGGTTAGATAAAATCATCGGTATCTTATATTTCAAGGTCAACTAATTTTAGAAAATTTACGCAAAAGCTTTTTATAATATCAATATTGATCGGTTAAGTTACTTTGCAACCAACTTTATCTTTATCTTATTGTAGTGATCAACGAAGAACAACTACTGGTCCTCGCAGAGGAAAATAACAGATAATTAACGTTCTGATAAAATAAAACTCTGTGATAGAGACATTATTTTTATTAAACGTTAATAAGCTTTTAAAATAAAAATAAAAATAAAAACGTTGTGGGGATCTACAGAAGATATTGCATGAATTATAAGACAACACATAGAAGAAGATCCACAAAAAGCTTCTAGAGTTATCAATAACTATTTGCGAAATCATGAATTCATTGTCTTCGACACCACTGTACCAATCTCTGATCCTATGTCCATTAGAGTTGGTTGGATGAACCCTCTAGACTTGGAAAAAGAGATCAAGTCATTGATTGCATAATAAAGATATACATTATTATCAAGAATTTTTAGTGAAACTAGCTCTGCTAAGCTTGAATAACGTATCTTCTGCCTCCTGCAGTTGCTTCATTTTCTCAATCTCAAATCACAATTTCTTATTTGCATTAACCTGTTCCTCATAATCTCTAGTGATGCCTTGCATGAATTTTCCAAATGTATCTACATTATATTTAAGCAATTGCTGATGAAAAATATCAAGCCCTTTTTTGACCTGACAATTAATCTCTTCCTCATGATCACGCATACAAATTGGAGTAATATTTATTTTGGGAGAAATGGCACTTTGTGCCTGGGTCTGAGTTTCCTTATTGTTCATATCTATGTTATATATATATGATAAATTTTCAAGTAAGGGTTTCCGACGCTGTCGTTGTTTTCTATTCTTATAATTCAGAATTTCACGATCAATCTTTTTTTCTATTTCCGGATAAATACCACTAGCTTGTTCTATAGTAATAGGGTATTTCCCTATTGTGAGGCTTTTCCATATATTCCATTGTATCGATGGGCAAAGTTCAGTAAGTTTACCCAAATAATATGGATTGAAAGGAGGATTTCCCATGAGTGGTATAGTATTATTATGAAATAAATAATTCTCAAAATTCCAGGAATTTGAAAAATACAGAACAAAAAAATACCATTAATCCCTAGTGATAATCTAGCATGAATTTTCCAAACGTCTCCTGAGCAATTGCTGAGATAAAATATCGAGCCCTTTCTTAACCCGATGATTGATTTCCAAAAGTGTACCCCGAAGTCGATCATCAACACTTGTGGACGATGATCATGATTGTTACATTTTGGAAGGAAGTCAAATCATTGGTGATGATGATCACGATTACTATGTGTCGGAGTCTGAATACACACGCCTGAAAATCTGACTTTTGTGCCCGGTCATTGATGGGGTGTAAGCAAAGTGAAAAAATAATGATTTATGGAATATATATATATATATATAATCTTTTAAGAATCTAAACCATGTGTGGTTAATCCAATTTTAGGGTTCCCTGCATATAGTCGCACAAGACATCAACTGACCATATTTGCACGATGTAGATGTTCTATGAACTTAGCCAAATTAGTTTGATGACATGAAACCTAGATGTTGCAAAATTTAATAAGTAACAATAGCAGAGCTAGTGTCAGAGACACATATTTTCGGTTTACATGGGAAT